CCATAACGTTTCTCAACGGCTTTCCAGATCACATAGACCGGCATACGCATGAGTCGTTCGTCAGCGAAGTTTCTTGGCAGCGTCTGGTTCAGAAGATCCTTGATGTAGGATTTCTGTCCCCTGAGCAGCGCCCCTTGCAGCTCGTGCGCCTGCACGCGGTCCGCCGTACGCTCTCCTTCGAGAGGCGGGATTGACGGCTGGGATTTGAGCAAATCCTCAAAGCGCGTCATTGGCTTCGCCCGTTTTTGCTGAAGCTCGAGAATCGTGATGGCGTCGCTCTTAGCAGCCAGATGATCCACGAACTTGTCCTTCCAACCAGCGAAATGCGCCTTGTTCCCGTGGAACTGCAGCCTGCTCATGTTGGTCTCAGAAGTCTTGTCCGTCTTACTTAAAATGTTAGAATGAACGCTGTAGAGTAGCTCTCAAAACAGTTTATTTACTTTTCCTCTTAACTACATATTCTCTAGACTTGTGCTCAGTCTGAGGCAGAAGAAGAAGTGAGCTCGTCCTCGGACTGCGTCCTCGGACAGCATCTCTCCCTTCTGCCTTCAAGTCCTCATCGCACTGGTTGACAGACTGTTGGAGGGATGATTTGCGCAGAGTTGTTAGGGCAGTACAGTACGGAGTGAGGACAAAAGTAGAGTGGTCTAGGCGGCCATAGTGGAGAGGAAGTCTTGAGTGTAGAAGGAGAAGACGCTTGTGGTGGACTTGGTAAAAGAAAGAGCTGATGAATTATAGATTTTGGTGCTCTGGTGGGGGGGGCGGGGTACTCTCCCCCAACCAGTCCCAGTTATGTACGATTTGTCTATATGAAATAGTACAGTTATATTCCACTAGATAGTCATCATCACATCGGAGATGCTTACTCCGACACCCTCCCACATCGAGGAATGTGTATGATGCTCTATCTGTCGGATAGTATTTAATGACCACAGGTGGCTGTTTATAACAGTCCTGTACGTACATGAGCATTTACAGGAAGTAGATCTTGTTTTGATATTGATGATCTTTTTCCTTTGACTTTCATTGTCAGATTTGTCAACTTGTGCCGTTTTGCTTTGGCAATAACTGTGCTGATTTCTTGTTTTCATTGCTACTTTGGCTACTCAGGAAACCCTTAGAGGATTAAACCTGTTCACGGTAGTGATCTGTTGTTGCTATCGTTTTAGTTATACGAATTTGTAGCAGCCAC